CCTTAATTCCCACTTATCCATGATAGAATTCAAGTAGGAATTAATAATTATTACAAAACACAAGGTTCCCAGACATGGGAATTGTGCAGGTCACTCCGGGTTTGGGACCATGAGGACAAGCCCTCCAACCCAGGTGAAACTCCAGCTGTCAGGGAAGAAGAAAAATAAAAAAGTACCTGCCAAGTATTTCCCAGGAATCCAGTGAAAAAAACTCAATTTGAAAACAGGATTGGGCAAAAGCTTTTCCTCCAACTCCTAAGAGAAATGAGGTAGAGGGAGGGCTCACAGGACATTTTTTTTCTGCAAAGGTTTGTTTTCCACAAGAGGAGAGTGACATTTCATTGAAAAGGAGACTTCAGGGTTCAATTTTTATAAAAAAATAAATAAAAATGTTCGTTTCCATGGAGAGCAAAATCAAAATCCAGAGCATTGCCAACAACTCTACAGATCCACACACAGATATTTGATATTTTGCTGGTGCTCAATGTACTGGTTTCATGATTTTTTTTTATTTCACCTCTTAAAATGACCTGAGGTCTTCTGTTTGACACCAGTGACAAACAACTTTTTTCTCCTCGTGTGGGTAAAACATTGGGTTTAAATTGACTTTGAATGAGGCAAACAAATACAAGAATTCTTTTAATTTACTGTGTGTTCATTACATTTCTTGTCTGCTTAGCCATACCACGCCATTGGAAGGAAAATTATTTATAAATTCCTTGGACACTGTTTTGTCTTTTAGGTAAAGGCTTCTCCTTTTCTTTCAAACCTCACCTCTGTCGTTTTTTGGTTGAAACAAATTCCAGTTTTGAAAAGCACAGTATCTAATTCTGCCAAGATTTTGCTGAGTTATACAAGAAGAGAATAAAGCCTTGCAAGACTTAAGGAAATCCTGGCTGGGCTGTTCAAACTGAAACCCAAGTTTTCCAGTCAGCAGTGAATTTAGGACTATCTGTTGGAGATAATTATAAAATTGCAGAGTTCTGCCTCAGTCACCCCAGTGGCATCTGAGGGCATTCCAGGGGTTAAATATGATTTCATTTAAATCAACAGTACTTTTGTGACTGAAGAGAGGACACTGAGATTTTTACAATTATTACATGGTGGTCTTGTCCATGTCTGAAACTCAATGAATGGTAAAGGGAAGGAAGAGCAGTGATAGGAAATGTAATCTTGGCTTTCTCAAACTCCAGAATTCCTTTCCTTTGCAATTTTATTTGTGTGTTCTTAACCTGCAGGTTATGGCAGGAAAGACAAGTGAAGGAATTAGGGCTAAAAGGAAAATGTGGGATCATGGAAATGTAATAAGTGGAAAAGCAGACACCATGGTACCAACAGAGATGGCAAAGGCTTAGGAAATACCACAATTAGGATCGTTTTGGCTCTAACTGTATAAAAACCAGAGAACTTGTGCCATCCTCACAAAACCAGGAGAGTTTGGGATTCCCTGTGGCCTCCCATGGAAGCCAGGGGCAAATGCCACTCCAAGCTCTCCCTACACCCCACCCAAGAGCCTGGATGCACAGCAGGAAAAGCTGAGCTAATAAGTCATGAAGGTTCTGTCATTCATTATCTTGTCATTACCATTTGTAATCTTTTCTGTAATTAGGTATCAGTGGGTTTCCTTGGAGAACATATGATTGAGTCTGAAATTGCTGCATATTCTCAGCAGCATATGCCTGCAACTGCAGTGCTGCTAGGTCGTGTTTCTCAAGTGTATATTTAATATATGGAGGGGTTTGGGTTTTTTTTTTTTTTTTTTGCTTGTGCAAGAGTCTGCTAGGGAGGGTGTGCTCATTACTGAGTGTGGGTTTAATGTCTGACAGGTCTGGGGTTATTAATAACTGCTGGATCCTTCCCTCCATAAACTGGCACATGGAGATGGGTCCAGACCTGGCCAGGAGGGAGCCCAGAGCAAGGCTGGGGTAGGAAAACCATTCTTTAGTCATTTATTTGATCCTTAATTCTTTATTATTTCATATTATTAATTCTTTCTTTATTTATTTAATTAAACTGACCTCTGCTGCAACTTAATCTGTGAATAAATTATTTTATTTTTTAATATGAGAATGAATCCGTTTTGCTGTTGTCTGTAAAAATCCTGGGATATCCTGAAGGGAAAGGGACCCACAGGGATCATCCCAGCTCCTGGCCCCAACAATCCCACCCTGGGCATCCCTGGAAGGGTTGTCCCAGCTCTCCTGGAGCTCTGGGACTGTGACATTCCCTGGGGAACCTGGGCAGTGCCCAGCACCCCCTGGATCAAGAACCTTTCCCTGATATCCAAACCTCCCCTGACAATCAGGCATTTCCACCCTGGCCCAGCCCAGGGGGCTCTGCACTGCCTTCTATTTGTGTCATTTTATTTATTTGTGTAATTTTATTTATCTGTGCACAGACCACAGCGCTGGCAATCTTTGCATCCCCTCTCGTGTACAAACACTGTCACCTCTCAACAAAATCAGGGTTTAACACTCTCTCCATCTTCATCACAGCTGCATTAAGGTGTCCCACTAGCCAGCAGCCACCAGCAGCTCCACTGGCCCCACTGGAGCACACAGATTTATTTTTAGCAGAAATTGAACTGAAAATTGAAGCAAAGTCCCTGTGATACCCATTGTTCTCACACTAATGGCAATGGTTTATCTGTCATCCTTAAAACAGTGACAAAATCCCAGCTAAAAGTGCTCAGGGAGTGCTCCCAGGTTAGGATTTACAGGGCAAATGTAAATTTTCTGTCCTTTCCCAGAGGCCAGGAGGATGCCAGCACAACCATCTGACACCCAGCACATCTCCCCAGGGAAAGCAAGCAGTGAATGATCCCTTCCCTCCCTGTTCGTGTTCCAGGGGAGCTGTGAGCTGGCAGAACTGAAATGGGGTGTGAAAAAAAATATGCATTTATTTCTCATATTGCAGCAAGAATCGCTGAACTCATTAATGCTCTAATTACCTGCATATTTCTATTTATGAAATCAGTTCCTGCCATGGCATTGGCATCATTCTCTTACACTCAGACCCTTTATCTCATCCATCTCCAAAGCAGAGTTTCTAAAAGTTTCCACATCCTTTCCTGGCTTATCTTTCCTTTCAGACAGTCGTGATAAAGTTTTTAAAAATAACTTGAAACGTCTTCTAAAATTCAAATGAAACCAAGAGATACATCTCATTACCCAGGATTGCTATTGACAAAAATAACCCTCTATCACAGGGCTTCTATCTCCCATCTCAGAGCCTGATCCTGAGCCACCAAAGCAAAAAAAAAAAAAAAAAAAAAAAAAAAAAAGGAGTTGCATAAAAAGGAAATATCAGACTCCTACTCGTGAAACGAGAGTTCCCAACAGTTATGATAACAGTCCCTTAAGAGATCTATTGTAGACAGAAATTCAAAAGACTCTAAATCTCTGAATTTTAAACATATTTAACCTTTTTGCGGTTTTGAATGTTAAATATATTTAATGTAGTGGTGTCTTTTTGCCGTGGAAGTTGCTAAATTATAAATGCTGCCCCTAAAATCACCAACCCTAAAAGTTGCCTGGGCCTGGATGTTGAAAATCAGCAAACTTCTCCAGGATTTTGGAAGTGTTGTTTTTTGTTTGTTTTTTTTTTATTGCACCAAAAAGCAGAAGCCTAAAGAGACCTTTGCAAAAAAATTCCCCCAAAAATCCCTCCAATCCTTACGTTTATAAAAGTTGGACCTTGATATTTTGCTCCTGTAAATCTTTAGCAATAAAGAAAAAGAGAGCAGCATAAAATTATGGCAGAAAATTTTAAGCTTTTTTTTTTTTTATGGTAACAGGGGCCAGGAGTAGATATTTGTAATCAAGGGGCATGTTTGAAGAAATGTGGATTAAATGCAATCTTTGGCTCAAAAGTGAAGCTCTCAGCTTCATTACCAGGACTCAGGGCTCAGGAATATTTATTAATAGAAGTCTGAGCTCCCCTGAGTTTCCTGTCCTGAGACAAAATATCTGCTTTTTTCCCCTCTAAAATGATGTTTGTCCAGCTGTTCTCTTTCTACCTCCAAGGAAGCTGCTTTTGATGATGGCAGCTATAATCTGATAATTCATAGAGATTTTACAATTCTCCTGATACCCTTTCATTCCTGCAAGAGACATTTGACAATTTGTGCTGTGCCCAGTGTGAGTGTCTTGGGAGGGAAAACTCGGGTCATAAAAATTAAAAATACTGTTACAACATCCACAGTTGATCCATCTCATTGGTTATTTGGTGAAAATTCTTTTAGGTTTATATAATCTTTTATAGTTCAGTATTTAAACAACATAAGGACAATTTAATGTATAATTAGTGGTGAGCAAGCAATGCATGCACACAACACCACAGCATGGTTTGGGTTGGAAGGGACTTTTCAGTTCATTTTGCCAAATCCCTGCCATGCCAGGGGAATTTTTCACTATCCCAGGTTGCTCCAAGCCCCAGGAAGGGGCAGGAATAATCACATTTCCCAGTGTTTTCCCTGTGGACGCACAACACCAAGCTGCCTTCCCTACAGAGAGCCTGAAAATCAGGATTTATCCCTCGCAGGCTCTGGGATTTTCCCCAGTGGGGCACATGGGAAAAGCCTCTGGAACATGCGAGCTTTTTTTTTCACGGAGCTGCTCTGCTCGGTAACAGAGATCTTGGGGAACGTTCTATCAAGAAATCAATGGAGCTGATAAAGCACACTAAAAGGGTAAACACATTTTTTTATTTCGTATTTGCTCCCGGTGTTGGCACCTCGGGGAGTTTTTGTCAGCAGTGGAACGGCAGCAGACACGGAGGGGAGGTTGTGGGAGTTCACCCTGTGCTGCCACTGAGCTCTCAGCTGGGGAAAAGATGAAAATTCCCTCCGTGCAAGGAAAAATAAAAACAACCCCAGCCACGTTCCAGCAGCTGTATTAAGCGCTGCCCATCATCAGAGACGAGCAGCAGCTCCTTCCCGAGGTAAATCTGAGAGCTGCCCCTCCGAAGGAAATTGGCTTTTGTCACCTAAGCTCTGCATCCCAGCATGGGTGGAATCCCAGGGGATTCCAGAGGGGAGAGGTGAGGGGCAGAAGGGATCAGCTGGAAGCAGGACAAGGACATGGTAGGTGAGTGACAAGCACTAGCAGCAGGCAATATTTCCCTTTTCCCCACTCACATGGGATAAATGGAAAAGATGTTCAGGTGTTTGCTGAGTTCTACCTGGCACTGCTGCCCCAAAAGTGGCCTGGGGCCCTTCCCAGCTTCCAACACACTCCAGGATTAGCCCCTTCCCAATCTGTAGGGTGAAAGGAGAGAAAAAACCTTTTCTTAATTGAAATTAATTTTTACCCAAGCCAGGAAAAATAACCATAGTCAAGGTGACTTTTGAAATTCAGCATTTGCTGAAGCCAGGTCTCTTGATTCATGTTGGTTTAATCCAAATTGCTGCTGATCCAAGCCCAGGTCCAATGAGATGATGAGATAAACTACTCTGCATTGCTGTGCCCCGAGGAATCCCATCAAAATTTGGGAATGGCACCATTATTAACCACTATTTTTCCCCTGTGAAAACATTTTTTAAATTATTTAATAACACATATAACAAACAGAGTATTCCTGACAATTTAACAAAACATTTTAACCCAATTTTTTAAGCGCCCCAGTTTTGCACTCTGGTGCAGGAACAATGAACTCCCCAGAGTTTTATGGAATTGCAGAAATTCCTCTGACACATTTCCAAGGATTTTTTTTACAACAGATGGAGAGCAGACCTTTTATGCTACCACTCAATTTCTCAGTTAAAACACACAAATCCCAAAAGAATACAAAGAGTGCCACGTGCTAATAACAAAGAGCAAAACCCTGGCAGATGCATCCATGAATAACTTCCTACTCACCCCAAATATTACTCTCTGTTGTACTGGAAAATCATTTGGAAATCACTGGAAATCACTGCATTTCCTCTTTTTGTTAGACATCTCATTGTCCTACAGTTTACAGATTTTCACACCTGAAATAATCACAATAAAAGGCTACAGAGACACAACAGCAAAGTTCAACTTCAGCTAAAAACAAACTTAGCAGGGGATAAAAATAAACCAGGATGGAGATCCCAGCATTCCTTCCAAGCCCTCAGCTTGATCTGGTCAATAGAGTTTTCCATTATCACAAATCAAGTTAAAAGTGATACCTCCAAACTCTCCAGGAGGAAGTTTGTGCTCCTTTCCATTTCCTTTGGGTGGAAAGGGTTATGGATGATTTTGAAGGACTGATTTTTCTCACTCCATTCGTGTCTTAAAATAAGGAATTTAAATGTCTTCTTTTTTTTTTTTTTCCCCTAAAATATCACAACCAAGAGCAAATTCTGTCTAATTGGGACAGAGCTGCTTTTCACTTGTGACTATCTTGTGACATTTCTGAGAAGTTAATTTGAACCCAGAAAGCCAATTTACATTGATAAATCCCTGGCATTATCCTGCTCTACTGCGTTTGTTTTTTCTTTTTTTTTTTTTTTTTAGGAAAGCATTTAAAAAACTGTCAAAAGGCCCATTTTCAACTGTGTCTAACCTTAACTACCTTGGCTTTAAAAATGTGTCAGGCAAGGAAAAATGGAGAGGCAAAATAGAGATTTTTGTTTGGACCCAGGTCTTTATAATCATGGAATCACAGAATGGCTTGGAAAGGACCTTAAGGACCTTAGAGTTCATCCAGTTCCTGTCCCAGGGACGCCTTCCACCATCCCAGGGTGCTCCATGCCCCAGTGTCCTCCCAGGGGGGAATTCCTTCCCCAATTCCCATCTCTCCCTTCCCTCTGGCAGTGGGATTCCATTCCCTGTGTCCTGCCACGCTCTGATATCCCATATTTCCCATATTTCCACACACAACAGCGACACATCTCATATGAACAAAACCTTGAGTGAAAACTGCTGATTAAATACAAACCATCCCTCTGATGTACAATCAATTCCATTCCCTTGGAGAAATCGCACGAGGTTTGAAGGGTGCCCCAAATTTTACACAAAAAAGACAAAAATTTGCTCCTTCTTTAAACCATCCCAAATTCTGAACATGGAGAGGTTTCACTTCTCCATGGAACATAAAAGCCAAGCATCCCTCTACACACACTATTAGTGAGATGCATCAAAAAAGGAAGCATTAACATAATTAAAAATAAGCATCCGTCCCATTTGTGTTTATTAAGGCAAAATGCAATTATCAGAGGCAGGCAGTGCTGGAAGCTGCTTTTGCACAGAGATGAGCCCAACATTGCAAAGAGCCCAGCTCCAAACCTGATTTATGTGCCCATTTGTAAATGTTTCATTTTGATCATTTTCAGTCGTCGCTTTCTGAGGCGCTTAAACGCGGTTTAATTAAATCACACAGACTTACAAACAATTACCAGGGCTTGGAATCTGCTCAGCAGCCCAGTGTGCTGTGTGCCACTGTCATTTTTGGGAACCATGAAGTTTAAATTAATGAGAAGATTGAGGGGGGATAACTTATCTCAGAGGAAGGAAAGTGTTAAGCACGCTGGTGAAGTCATTGATTCCGAGAGGAAGGGAACAAACTTTGTTACCATTTGGGGACATTTCCAGTCCTACAGCTGCCCATGCCAAGCAGAAGTGGCTGAATTGTTGTTCACTGGGATGGGTGGTCACTGCCCAGTCCAAAAGGATGAAAGCTGGATCATAGAAATCATGGAATCCCAGCATGGTTTGGGTTGGAAGAGCCTTAAAACTCATCCAGTGCCACCCCTGCCATGGGCAGGGACACCTCCCACTGTCCCAGGCTGCTCCAGCCTGGCCTTGGGCACTTCCAGGAATCCAGAGACAGCCCCAGCTTCTCTGGGAATTCTATTCCAAGGCCTCCCCACCCTCACAGGGAACAATTCCTTCCCAAATCTCCCATCTCAATCTCTCCTGTTTTCCTCGAGAACCATTCCCCCTTTCCCCATCACTATCTGCCCAGGTCAAAAGTCACTCTCCCTTTGCCCCTGCAGGAGCAGCTCCCAGGCAGTGACATTCACTGGAGAAATAAAAGCTTTTCTGTGGCTATTTCTAGCCCTGAAGAGGTTTCCCTCGGCCTCCCTGCCCTCTGCTCACCCCTCCAGGTTTTCAGGAGGATAACAAGCTCAGTTCTTGCAGGGCACAAGATTGTGGATTGTGGGATTAACCCACCCTGAGCTCCTGCCTCTCGAGCCTGACTCCTTTCCCCTCTGAACTCTCAATTTGAAGCATAATTTTTTGGGTAATCGAGCTTCCTGCTTTGGGCTGATACTGATTTGAAGCTGCTTTGCAAATCGTGTTCAAATATCTTAAAGCCTGGATGAGTCCTGAGCTTGGATGTGCAGAAACACAATGGAAGTCGAAGGAACAGAGAAGTTTCAAAAGGAGCTGGATGTTAAACCCAGAGAGAAGCCCCAGAAGGAGCAAATTAGGGTGGAAGCAAAGGGTATAAATGTTGGATGAACCTTTTCTTCTCAGAAGTCAGCAGAGAGAGGGGGTGATGAGATAAGGAATTCTGTTACAGGCTTGAGAGACAGAGGAGAGAGCAGCAGGGGAGAAGATAAGGGTGAAGACTGAAGCAAAGGTGAAAATGTAAAGAAAATTACTGTTTTAGCCACGCAGGAAATCATAAAATAGAACTTGGTTTTAATCACTTCAGCATTACAAACTAAATCCGTGGAGTTTTTAAAAGAAAAATAGTTTAGAAAGGAACATTCATCAGACTTCTCAGCCTTCCTGAATGCCTGTGCACGAATTCCCACAGAACCAGACCTTGCCATTCCCTAAAGCATCCCAATCCCTAGAGCCAATCCTTCAGGACAGCAAATTCTCCTCATTTTTATGGATCCTGGGCATTCCACCAATACAATTCCAAAGGATCTCTCCTGAGATGGTCTCTGCTGGCAGCTCAGGTGTTTCCTGGATTTTCAGGAATTTCTGGGGGGGCTCTGAGGGTGCCACGTCTTTTTTGGGTCACAGCTGCCCAGGGGGATGTGGCACACACAGAATCTGCTGGTTTGGTTTATGTGCCCATAAAGATTTCCTGAATTTCATTATTTAAAGTTTTATATGGAACTGCCCTTCAAAACAGACACATATTTTTAACATGACAACATCCATACCCACTGAAGAAATTCCAGTTGCCTAAATTCATTAATTTGATTATGAGAATTGTAAGTTTATTAAACACTGATTGCTATTAAGACTTTCCATGATAAAGCACTAATAATTTACTGATATTAGTTACAGATCTCAGAGGAAATCATGAGAGATTTTGCTGCATTCACCAAAGTCAATGGAAAAAAAAAAAAGAAATACAGATATAAAAGCAATACTGAGACAGCTCTTTAAGCTACAGCTCAACTTGAGAAAGTTTGATGGCATCAATTCAGACCTGAAATGTCATGGAGGCAATCAGGCACAGCAAAGGGAGAGCCAGGACAGGGTCAGTGGGTATAGACAGAAAAATAGATTTGGGAGTTGTCAGCAAAAATGTGACACTAAAACCTGTGAGCATCAACAACAGTGCCCTAAAGAAGGAATAAATACAGGAGAGAAGAGCAAGCAAAGTGATATCTCTGTGGCTATGAGCAATTGGGGACACTCTGGAAACAAAAGAGCAAATATCAGATTGTCAGGATAAGAACCTGAGGAAGGCCAACATATTACAGCCTAAATAAAAAAAAAAAAATAAATAAAAAAATCAGAAAATGCATCAATCTCAGTGCCCACAGCAGTGAATGGACTAGAAAAAAAACCACAAGGTGCAATTCACAGACGTGGCAATATTGAAGTGGGAGCAGCCTGTAACCTACAGACAATATTTAGAAAGAATTGTTGTATATTTGAGCAAAAGAAAATTCATCTACAAATATGACACACGCTTGGAGCTCTTTTTCCTTTTCATGGCTGTGGAGCTGTTGGCAAATTCCCCAACAGCTCTGTGAGAGAGGCTCTAGTGCAGTTTTGGGCATGAAGGAAACTGAAATGATCTTTCATTATTCACTGAGAGAGACCCTGAAGAGCCACAGGACCCTGGGCTTGCTGGGACATTGCCCCACTCAATAAATGAGGTTTAGTCTGGACTAAACCTCCTGCACCCTCTGGGTTTTACAAGGAAAATCTTCTTTTTTCACAGTGCTGCTGGAGCTGGGCTGGCTGCCCCCAAAATTCTGCAGGTGACTGGAGCTGGCAATGAATAATCAGGTTTTTCACTAAAGAAGGAATTAGGTTTTAGTACTGAGCCAGAGGATTTCTTCCTTATCAAAAGTAATTAAAATGATATCTTTTTAAAAAGCGAGTTTATAGCAAGCTGTTTTAAAGCTGCAGAAATGGAAGAAAAAAAAAAAGTTAATGGGAGATGAATGTTTTGAATTAAAAATCGGTAACTTTTGAAGTTGTCTGCACTTCCAAAATCAATAATTACCAAAAGAGTGAGATGGTGATAAACTGAGAGTGTCTCTTTTATTTATTGAGAGGCTGAAATAGAAGCCAGAGCCTTTGGAGCAGCGAGCTGCTGCTTTCCTGCTCCTGGGAATGGGTTCTGGCACCAGGCTCTGGAGAGGGAACACAAGTTTTGTGCTGAGTGTGGACACGGCAGCCATTGATGGCAAAGAACTGAAATATTAAGTTTGGGTCATATTATAACCAAGTTTTAATTGTGTTTTCTCTATTTTTACTTCATTTTCACTCCTCAACTCTTGCAGTGTTAAACTGGAGAAGATGCTTAAAGCTGTGGCTTTACTCAAGCTCTCCTCTCCTCATTATAATAACAATCTCATTATAATATCATTATAATATAGGTGTGTCTTCTCCTCTACAAAGTGAACCTTCTCATCATCCTAAGCCTCTCATGGGGAAAAATTCTAGTCCAGCTGGAGTATTTTAAAAATATTTTACTCAGAGAGGGCTGTTAATGACCAAGAGAATTAATAAATGATTGTCATGGTAGAAGAGTCCAGCAGGGGTGGCACTGGATGGGATTTAAGGTCCCTTCCAATCCAGGCCATTCTGGGATTTTATGATTATTGTGTTAAAGGAACATTTATGAGGAGAGAGATTGCAAGGTTCTGTTTCCTCCACAAACACACCCTTGCAGGGAGGCTCTGCAGGGCAATGCAAAGAAGTGCAGAATCATACCCTGAATATCCAGGTTTACCATCAGTGGCAAAGGGAATGAAATTAAATCCATTCCATCCTAAATGGACACGTGGAACCAAACCAAAATGTTTATCCCAAGTCATTTTTTGCTGCAGACAGAAGTTACCACACCCTTCCCAGGGCTACTCCAACACCAAACCTCAAACTCTCCAATCCTACCCCAACATCCCCCCATTCATTTCCTTCCAGTGACTCCCACACCAGACCTTTCCACAACTTGGATTTAACTGACTGAAAATCCACGGATTATTATGGAATTACAAAGCAGAACAAGTTCTTACTCTGCTCCTGGAAGGGATGTGAAATGTTGTACAAAGATTTCCTATAAAACCAGCAGCTATTTCACTCTTCTGGGTAGACAGTAAGAGGTTGCACAAAGTTAACACAGCCTCCTCAATTTTCCAGCTGAATTCCGACCTGTTCTGGAGTGATTTGAAGCACAGCATATGATTTCTAGCAGATGCCTGGTTTAGCAGATATTATTAGCTTTGAAACTCTGCATAAACTGCCAGAAGGTCAGAGAAGGATAAAAGCTGCCAGTAAGAGGCTCGAGTAAATGAAGGTAAATACATCAAACAATCTGTTTAACACCACATGAGGCAGAGGTGTCACCTCTTCTCTGCAGTGGAAGTTCATTCCACACAGGAAAATACCAATTTTTGAGACTCAAGGGCAGCAAATTTTGTTCAGATGGAACTAAAGGAAAAGGAGGAAAAAAAGGAAAAAAAAAAAACAAAAGGAAAGGAGGAAAAGAAGGCACCAAAGCAGTTGGGAGTCATTGTAGTGAATTCTGCGACCTGCAGAGCACTCCCAGCTCCACCATCCTCCTCATCACAGGAATCCCAGCATTTCTGTCCATGGAATAAACACATCTGCAGTGAAAACCCCCAAAATTTTTCATTCAGTTTAGCAGAACATAAATCACCTCTATTCCCAGGCCACAGCTCTCTATAAGGCTTTGTTAACACAGGGACTAAAAATCAAATATCTCCTGGTCACAAGTCTGCAAGGATTCCCAAAACACCTTCTCTAGCTCTAAATCTAGTCCAAATTGGAGCTTTTTCAGTAAAATCCAGAATTGCCCATGAAGCCTTTGAGTCCACAGCTGAAGGCTGAGGTCAAAGCCACAGTGGGAGCATCTCAGACTGGGGCCCAGCTCAGGAGATTTCAGCCCCCACCCTGCCCTGCCTTCTGCCCTCTAGCACCTTCTCCTACAAAACCAATCCCATCATTGAGAAATCCACGCCTGATGTGCTGCTACCATGAGGACTTCTGGGGATGCTTCCTGTAATTTCTGTAATATTTGAGGCCTTTAGAGAAGAAACTGCCTAAAGAATCGTGAAGGTTTGGGAAAAAAACTCTGATATCATGTAGTCCAACCTTTGACCATCTTACCCAAAAAACCCTAACATGAGTGTCACATCTACTCAGTTTTCTGGACACTTATTCAGACAACAAAAGAAGTTATCTTCAGAATTTTCCCCATTACTTTGAAGAGTGTTGTTGAGTCCACTATAAAGTTCATGACACAAATCTCGTGTATTATTCTCTTCCATCAACAAGTCCCTCACAACAACACACATTGTTAAGAAATGAGAGGAGCAAGAATATCCTGGCACAAAATCTTCCCCAGGTCAGGGTAAAGAGTCCCAAGCAGAAGTTGGGATGCAGTGAAAACCCAGAGTTCCACTTCCCTCTGACAAGTCAAAACCGAACAAACAGAAAAATCCAGATGAAGAATAATTTCTGTTGGCAAAACACTCGTATTTATTCCATTGTTAATACATAAGGAGGGATTTATTTGCTAGATTTGAATTTGATTTCAGAGCATTCAAAGCAAAGCACGCTGAATAATTTAAACTTTAATGTATTTCCCTGAATGGAACATGCTCTCATGAGAGGGGAGCAAAAGAATCAGTTTACATTGCACAAATGGACAGTGGTAAAGAAAGATTTCCCTAAACACAGCACGTCAATACAATTTTCCATCTCTGGCTTTATAGGAACTACTATAAATCTGCTTTTCATATTTTGGCTAATGTAAAACCCTTGTAGCTGAGCCATAATGGTATTCAATTCTTATGCCTGAATAATTTGAATGGCTGGAAGGAAACAAGCAAGGAGCATCTAACATATGGATGGGAAAGGGAAGACAAGTTCAAACAACAAATCAAAACTAGCAAAGAATATTAAAGTAGTTCTCTGATACTTTGAGATTCTGAATTTAGTCCTAAAGTTCTTCAAATCCAATCAATAGCATCAGCATGGAGACTAAAATACTGTAATTATTGATGAGGGTGATGGTTAACAAGCAGTACTCTTTGGAGTCTCACCATTGCAAACTGAAGCCAAAAATGACACAGACAAAGGCCTGTTAGTCTGAAATGGCAGAAACGTTGGCTTCTGGAGTCTTTATATAAAACCAGAAGTGCATGAGGACAAGAGACGAATGTTACATGTCAGGATGATAAATAAAATTCAGTCAAAGAAAAGAAAATCCTTTGCCCTGATTAGCAAGTCTGAAGTTTGGCAAGGCTGACACGATGGGAGAGGGAGTGAAAAGCTTCAGTGAGTCTCTGCTGGAAATTTGAGGGCTCTCAGGTTTGATTTCTCAAATTCCAGAACTCAGGAGTGGGGCACAGCCAACATTTCTAACGTGCAGCACAATATCTCTCACCTGGAGGAGCACAGCTTGATTTAGGAGTGAAAGCACTCAGACATTTCATTCTTCCAAATAATATAATTGATGTGAGATGCTAATTAATTTCATTTATGGCTTCCATTGAAGCAAGAGTGCAGCCAAGTGTTTGGACAAGGAGCCAAGGGACAGCAGCAGCACAACTGTCACAAAAAAAAAGAAAAATTCTTCCTTTTCTCAGGACGCCACTGGGGGCCAACCAAATTAGGGGCGAGTGGTCAAAGAAGATGCAAAAGAGGGAAAAACTGACAAGGCCTAGATCAAATCTCCTGGAGTTCCCTGCAGGGAATCTGCTTGGGAAGGGTTGCTGGAAATGCCATCTGCCTTCTGAGAATCAAATGAGTCTTTTGGAGGAGCTCTGGCAAAGGGCAGGGAGGTGGGGGATCCTCGGGGTGAGCCGACAGCCGGGCACGGCCGGGACCCCTGGCACCAAAAGGGAAAGAGAGAGGGCAGGAATGGGCTTTGTATCCAGGGAATATCCCACAGAATATCCCACAGGGAATATCCCACAGGGAATATCCCACAGGGAATACCCCACAGGGAATATCCCACAGAATATCCCACAGGGAATATCCCACAGGGAACATCCCACAGGGAATATCCCACAGAATATCCCACAGGGAATACCCCACAGGGAATATCCCACAGGGAATA